CTACCTTCACTTTACCGCCTCTCACTTTCTCCGCTGCCATTTCCAGCTCCTCCCACTCCTTACCTCCCCCATCCCTCTCTCTATATTTTTCTTGCCAACCCTTTTAACATCAGCTCTCCACATCTTTTCTCCTCCCTTTTTTAATATTTCTTTCCTTCCATCCTTTTATCTCTACCTCGCTCTCCCCCCTTTTATCTCTACCTCTCTCCCTCCCCCTTTATCTCTACCTCCTCCCTTTATCTCTACCTCCCCCTATTCTCACCCTCCCTCCCTTTATCTCTACCTCCTCCCTTTATCTCTACCCCTCACTGCCTCACCTTCTTTTACGCTCCTCCTGACCCCCTCACTCATACCCTGCTGATCCTCCATTATATACCCTGCTGACCCCCTCACTTTTACCGCCTGCTAACCCCTTCAGTTTTATACCTGCTGCCACCCCCCTTCCTCGGTCTAGTCTGGTGCAGCAACACTTGCATGTCTGGGCCACGTTATCATAAAGGGAGATGTGTTATGATAGGATAAATCTGGCCTGGCCCACGTCTAGCATGTAGGCTGGAGAGACGCCCACCGATTGCCCCTCCTGCCCTGTACCTCCCCTCCTTCCCATCGGTGTTCAATACGCCTTTATTACTACTCCTCCTCCTCCTCCTCCGTGTTTTCAGTGGTGAACTCGGAACACACATAAGAGTCCTGGTGTTGGGAGTGCCGTCGTGCATCTAACAATAACAATAAACTAATACATAATTATCTTAGATTCTTTACCACCTCGTAGAGCCGCGCGCTTTCCCCAAACTATACTGTACATAAACATACATCTACCCGTGTACACTGAACAGGCTGGTACAGGGAACCTTGCTCGTGTATCTAATAATAATAATAATAATAATAATAATAATAATGATAATAATAATAATAATAATAAACCAAATGAATCACAAGAAATATTGAAATGTAACTCACCCAAAACGTCACGTGTTTACTTAACCTTAAACGAAACGACTTTACGTAATTACTGGCATCCTGGGTCAGCTGTTGGAGGTACACACGGAGCATCATTGGTAATAACAAGTGTGCCCTGAATGGAGAGGGGGAAAGGGGGTAAGTCTTCCCACAGCGCCACGGGGAACACAGTCGTTAAGGAGAGTATGGGATGGTGGGGAGTGAGGGAAAGTTGTTTGAAGAAAATGTTTGTGTGAGAGATTGGGTGGGAGGAGGAGGAGGAGGTTGTTAGGTGTGTGGGATTGGATCTGAGGGAGGGGTGCTAGGTGTGAGAGGGAGGGTTGCCAGGTGTGAGGGATTAGGGGCATAGGGGAGAGGTGGAAAAGCGTGACATTATGTGCAGTGTGGATGGTGAGGCAAGGCCGAGTATGTGTAGGTAGGGAAACATGGTGAGTGTGTTGGCTGGGAGAGGAGGCAGAGAGTGTGTTGGCTGGGAGACGAGGCAGAGAGTGTGTTGGCTGGGAGACGAGGCAGTGTGTGTGGGGGTGGGGAGGGAAGGGAGCGGCATCAGGTGTAACGGAGGGGGGGGGGGGTCGTGGGAGACGACCTGTGATGCGACATATTACCTTTAAAGTGCGTCACGTCTAATTTTGTCCCTGACCACTTGCTTTGAGAGAGAGAGAGAGAGAGAGAGAGAGAGAGAGAGAGAGAGAGAGTCATCCCATACATAGTCCTAGGTATCGAAGGTATACCGTATCTACCCTTCACTAGACCTTTTTGGTATCCACACCTCCTCCACCTCCTCTTGCCTGGTATAGGTCCCTTAACACTACCTATCAAGGCAACCCCAGGAGTACAGAGGGAGGGAGGTGTAGTGAAGTAGTGGAGGAAGGTGGGTTTAGGTGTATGAGGGTGGGAGGTACGTTGAGTGTAGGACAAAAGCCCCTAGAAAAAAAATGCCCCGAGCACAAATAATTATTAGATTTTTTTATATTATTTTTATTCTTTATTATTTAAAGTTTACAGTTTATGAACCTAACCTAACCTAACTCATCCTATCTTGCACTTTAACTGAGATGGTTTTGTCCAGGAAGCTTTTGTCCTAGGGGGCTTTACTCAGGACCCCAGGCACGATACCCCAGCTGCCCGCCTCTGTTGTCTTCGCGTGTTTGTTGATGCTCACAGATTAACGAGACGGAGAGAAGAAAAAGCATCTTAAGTCACGTTCTTTTACCACACTTTTTGTATAGCCTTACAGGGAGGTGACGCAGGCAGTACTTTTATAATTAAGCGTCAGAGTCAATATTTCTTCATCAAACATTACTGCGCAAAGTACACAATGGCTTCAAGGGCAAGAAATTATACCTTTTTTATTGTTCGACAAGTCCCTAGAACAAACGGCAGCACATGTTGTTGTGTGAGTGTTGGTGCTGCAGCTCACTTTGTTTACATCATGTGGCTCCAGGGTCGTTGTGTTTTGTCTTCTGATATCAACAAAGGGAGTAACTTTTACTTGGTTCTTTATGTAGTACTTTTATATATAATGGTTGCTACTCGTGTAACGAGGATGTGTAGTACTTTATATATAATGGTTGCCACTCCTGTAACGAGGATGGCCGGCCCAAGGGCCACCTAGGCGTGAATTTGTTTTAAGGTGTAGAAGCTGTTGCCAACGCAACAACCACACCCTAAGTTAACGAGCTGCATGACCCAGTGCCAAGGAATAATCCAAGAAGACCGGACAACTCGCCAACTGCACTGGCTAACCATTACCCCGGAATACGATTCACAAATCGATTAAAATCCAGGTTTCCAATTAGAGGTGGGTAGACAGAGGCAAATGGCGTAAAGAAACTTGCCCATAGTTTCACCCTGCACGGGGATCGACCCCGGTTCCCCTCGCTTGCTAACCATTACACCACAGGTCGACAGTACTTTATATAACACACACACACACACACACACAGAGGAGCGCAAACTTTACGTAAATATATATAGATGGATGAACTTTGTGGAGTGTGCTTGAGGAAAAGATATGTATGCCACAGAAAACATGAGCTAGGGCGAGGTGCTTCAAGTGGATAAGTGATGAGTCGATGTTTAGGGGCGGAAGGAAGGTTGATGGCCACATTTGTTAACACACGTTAAGAACATGAGAGGACACTGCATCAGGCATTTCTATACATACAATAATTAAATATCGGTAAAAGGGAGAGACGATGAAAATGCCTAAGGAAAATATAGGTGAATTTTTTTTTGTTTTATTATGAGTAAAGGTAATAATGTAGTCTGGAAACGTAGAGAATTAAATATGTATTGTATATGGAAGAAAGAAGAGACATTTAGTTGGCTGCTGGCGAGTTTGGGATCTATAGACAGTTAAATGTTGTGTCGTCAGTCATACGGTAATATTACTTAGAGAATAGTTTATGTCTACGCCAGGGAAGGACCGAAGTACTGTGTGTGAGGCAGAGGGAAACAATAGAACTTTCTTTGTTTTGTTTTTGTCTGGTGGTGAATGAATGGGCAGCTGGGTCGAGATTCACAGAAGTTCATATGATGATTATTTATCGTAAGTCAAGATGTGAATATGCTTCTAACTGATTGACTGGATCTATTACACAAAAATTGTCTAGCAAAGTAGCATTAGACTGAGACGACAGTAACTAGTTCACTAATCACCTGTTAGGAGACAAAATTGACATATAATCTTTTAGAAATGATTCTTTACCTTATCTATCTTTATGAGGTGTTTATTACCTAGTTAAGGTCGAGTCTTAGTGTAAATTTGATATTATTTTTTTACGATATTGTTGAAAAATCTCGATCTTGGATTGGTTTTAGTCATACTGTGCAGGTCGTGTGAGATTACCCGAGGAGAAACGTAAAAACTTATTAAAAAAGAATAAACGAAATATGAAAGTAAATGAAAAAAAAAGTGAAATATAAAATGTTAAAAAGAGACAAAGAAGGTGGAGGTCCGGCGGGGAATAGCCCAAAACCCTAACCCGTGCTGGGAGGCCAGATCTCATTTCAGATTCCATTTCGTAATTTCTTTGTTGATTTTAAGACTCCTCTTCATCCTCTTGGGAGTCAGTTCGCCTGAAGACTCCCAGAATCTTCTTTTTATATTTATTTTTTAGTTTTTCATCTCCGTACAAGTGTTTATTTTCCTAATGAACAAACATTAGGTTCTTAACCCCTAAAACCTAAAACGGACAGTGGGGTTATTGTCTTAAGCCTGCCATGCTGAACGGGATATGTGTACGGTTGTGGACAGAATTCCTTGGACACCGATCAGTATCTGTCTTCTGTTTTAGGGTCATGGAGGTAAGAGGGATTAGATATTTATTGTGTTAATTTACTCGTTTCTGTGTATTCTTATGATGTAGCATATTGTTACTAGTCTGGTGTAGTCTGTAAGGGAGGGCAGATGTTACCACCCACTTGCATCACTCCACATGTTAGGTGCCCCAGATGTTGCCAAGTGTTGTAAGTATTGTGGATGCAACTGTACGTGTGTTTGTTTTTATTATATTTTTATTTTATTTATTTTTAGTCGATCTCGAGTACACTCCTCCATCAAGTGTTGTGTAACGTCCCACTCAGGTAGTACATGGTGTGGAGGTGTATCAGTACCACATATTGTAACAAACATTGGGTTATGACCGCTCGCTGTACTGAATTTTTTTTTATCTGATAAATTCTATTATTATTATTATTATTATTATTATTATTATTATTATTATTATTATTATTATTATTATTATTATTATTATTATTATTATTATTATTATTATTATTATTATTATTATTATTATTGTTATTGTTATTAATATTATTATTATTATTATTATTATTATTATTATTATTGTGGCTGTTGTCATCACTATTATTGGTATTATTAGTGTCTTATTGTAATAATTCTAGGCATTTTAATCCAAGAAATCGTCACAAACAGCTGCCATTGGTGATGGTGAGTCACTTGGTGCCAGTGTACTAATAAAGAACTCACTATAATGATAACTTGTACCTCAAGTGTGGTCTTTGTGTGGTTACAGAACTTGGAGGACAAGGAGAGGAAGCAGACGGCTCACAAGGATCACTTGGCCCGGGAACAGAGGTACCTGCGGCGGCGGCTCGAGTCCCTGGGGCCGGAGCTCCTGCCACACTTCGACGTGGAGAAAATGGGCAAGCGACGCTCAGTCTCTGAGAGTTCCTCCTTCTCCTCCTCATCCGCATCTTCCTCCTCCTCCTCTTCCTCTACCTCAGAATCAGGTGAGTTGTCTCCGGGGACTGTGACTGCAGTGGCTTTTTCCTCGCTTTATTTTTTTTTTCAATTTTATCGGAGAGATAATGGGACATTACAGTGGATGTAACCTAGCACACCTTAGAGCACATGTAGACCATACCTGAGGCAGGCTATTGGGCGGGTGTGGAATCTTAGTCTTTCACATTTACTGGTGGTGGCATGGCGTCTCTCCCTGAAGCTACCGCCCGGTCGACGCCGCCATTTTTGTCGACTCAAAACATGTCCATGCACTCTGTACTGCTGCTCCCGAATTGTGCTCCATTATGTCATCCTGCTGAGCATATACTGTAGATGTACCCAGAGAGACAGGAGAGAGAGTATAACATTCCATCGGTAAGTGTTGAAGTTGTAATTAAGTTCTATCAAGCGAAAGTGCCAGTTTAGTATAGTCACTGTCTTCCTGCTTTTAGAGTTTCCGCAAAGATATCGTGATGGCGGTGATGGTTAAGACTGTATTATATATTGTGATGTATCCACAGTAATATTACATTGTTTGTTTTACAGAATACAGCTACGAATTAAGTAAAAGATAGTCTATGAAATGTTTTGTTTTGCGTCAAACAATATGGCCGCTAACCCCGCTCACTGTCTCCATGAGTCCTGCGCGGAGTATGACGTTATGCCGCCTCTGTGTATTAAAGTTCCTTGGGGGACATCGTGTAAGCACACTAGTCGCCATGTTGATTACAGGTCAAAAGGTCAAGACCGACAGAAATGAGCCGTGTGATTTTCATCCTTGTTGGTGAAAGTAAATAACATTTTGTTCCCCCCCACGACGTATCCTTGACTAAACTCTTATCTGAATGAGGTGGTTAGGGAGGAAAATGTCGCCTGCAGTGGAAATGTAGTGTTAGTTATGAGTGAGTGGCGCCCTATGGTGTGTTGGAGTCCGTGTTGTTGGGTAACGAGGCTTATCACAGTGGGGCCGTGGCCAGGTGGGGCGGAGGGGGAGGTAAGGGAAGTGGATCATCAAGCTAGAGCAGCAGCGGTCTGTCGTGGAGCTCTGTCTTCCGTCTAGTCTGTTGACTCACTTACAAAGAGAGAATATATATATATATATATATATATATATATATATATATATATATATATATATATATATATATATATATATATATATATATATATATATATATGGTTATGTTTTCATAGTAAACGACGTTTTAAAATTAATTAAATAAAGTAAATGTCACCGTGTGTGATGTAATATGCATTAAGTTAAATTAAAAAAAAACCTCTATTTGGCAAGTTCCTTAGTTACATTTTACGGCTAAATCAGATGATTATTCCTATTTAGTATCTACACATTTCGCGCGAAATAATTTGGGTTATTTAAGTAAATATAGTGGGTTATATTAGTAAATATATTGGGTTATATAAGTAAAGATAGTGGGTTATTTAAGTAAAGGTAGTGGGTTATATAAGTAAAGATAGTGGGTTATATAAGATAGCCTGTAATGAGGGCTAATTATCCAAAGTGGGATTTTTTTGGTGGGGGAACAAGACCCAGGGTAGAGGGTAGTTAGCAAGGAATGTTAAAGAGCTTGTAGGAGGCCGGTGTAATTCCCTTTTCGAATGTTGGCAGATCAGATCCACCATTCATTAGTCTGAGTTGGTCGGCGTTCATCTCTCTCAGAACGACGCTGCCTGGCTGTCTATAACTAGTTTCAAAGGCTTTCTGGGCCTTACCTGCCCGTCTTTTCTACTCTTTGAAGTAGTTTCGTAAAACAGCCTGTGTTCATTTGCATAATCAGGTTAAAGTACTTGTCAAAACAACGTCCCGAGAAGAAGCAATCTACGAGAGGAGTCATTGAGGGGGTCGTGTACTGGGGGAGGGAGAGTGAGCCACAGTACACGAGTAGCTCTCACATTTCTCTCTGTCGCGTGAGTCAAGTTCCTGTCATGCTGACAGTCGTGTAGATGTGGCACTACGTAAGAATAGAACAGATTGTATGTTAAAAGAATTTTATCTTTAGAGACAAGAAATTACTTTGGAAAAGTTTGTTGTTTTGAGTGTTTCAGACACTTGGTGACGAGTAGACGCGTCGAGGGTGATCGTCCCTCTCCCCCCTCTCACGTCACTTACGTAAGGCCAGGAGACTAGGAGACTCGACCAGAGTTACGTAAGGATAGGGGACAAAGTTAACATGTAGCTGAAAGAAGACCTCTATAGCTAAGGGACCAGGCTTACGTATGGCGGGAACAAACCCTTTTAGACGATGAGATCGGTGGACCAAGCTTCTCCCGCGGCGCTTGGAGGCCATACACGTGATTTTTTTTTACTACGTTTAGTCAGACAAATCCCGCCCTTTTTGACCTAAGTGATGTATCTTTTCCACATTGGGGATTTTTTTTTAGTGCAGACATGGTCATCTTTTTATCCAAGTGCTGGTCTTCGTACTTACTTTATGACGGTGACTACTGTGCTGGCTGGTGGTGCTGGTGGTGGTGGTGGTGGTGGTGCTGGTGCTGGCTGGTGGTGCAGGCTGGTGGTGGTCTCTGCTGAGTAGTTGGTCTCTCTTAAATACCATCAGCGTCTCAGGACCATCTTGAAGGACGCCGACACGACTCCTCCATCCCCGAGAAGTGGAAGGCATTTCACTCAGGCATATACTCCAACTTCGCTCTTCACACTTATCATAACTTACTGATCACCTTGGCCTGGGAATCCCACATAGGATCGCTCATAAAGTAATGACCTGAACACTGTCTTAACTTGAGCGATATATTTGTCGAGAAAATCTTTTTTTTTTTTTTTTGCTTTTCGGAATTTTTAATACTTTATTGTTTTTATTTTTGTTACTCCTTTTTTCTTCCTTTATCATCCACATGTTTTCTTATTCCTTCGCTTAAGTTCCATCACCAGCCATCATGACACTTAACTACCTGCTTACTCTAACCTCGTTACCTCTCTGAACCCTCCCTCACCTGGACCATCAACACACCCCACCCCCCCCCTCTCTCTCTCAGACCACCACCATCTACCATCATCCCCTCCTTCTCCACCTTATCCACTCCTCCAAGATCGTGTCAACACCTTCAACCTGGTGCTCCTTGCTCTTCCTCAACACCCGTTAAACTTTCTCCTCCTCTGAGCCTCCCCCCACCGCCCCCATCATCCTCTAACCCATCTTTAACACCCATATCCTCCTTCCCAGGCTCCCATCATCACCTTCTATAGTAACCTTCTCTTGTGGTCCATTATTAAAACTCATCACTTTCCTGTCTGACTCTCCCATTATCCTCCCCCATAAAACTCCCATTTTCTACATGACTTTCCATAGCCCATCGGGGTTCCCATAACGTGGTGGCGTTGTGGCTCCTCGCCCGGCCTACCATACTACTACCATCGTCGGCCAAAGTGAAGAGGTTAGAGCCCAATATCTAGTATAAACAACTCAGCTCCCCCCATCTCTTATCAGTATATATATTTTATTTTTTCCATGAGTTATGTTTTCATTATAACTCAACTACATTTCTCTATAGCTCACTATGTCGTATACTCTCTCTCTCTCTCTCTCTCTCTCTCGGCCAGTGAACACCACCTTCTTATATTACCCGCTTCTTATTCCTCAGCTGCTGTATATCCTTTATCATCTCTCCCACCGTTACTATGATAATTTTAAGTCTTATACTGTGTGTAATTATTGTCTGTGAAATTATAGAATCACCGTGAAATTACACCAGGAATGTATTGCACTAATAGCACACAAGTTTAACACTGGAGATAGTTAATCATCAGTTTTGTGGTGTGTATTATGTGAGGCAGAAGGATCGGGTGGAGGGAGATACCTCACACCTCAATGATTATTTGATACTGAGTAAATAAAACACTTGAAAATAGATGAGTCTGTAGTGTGCCATCACAGACTGCGGCTATCACTCACGCCTCGCATAACTCTCTCTCTCTCTCTCTCTCTCACTCTGTAAAGCAATGTAGTCATTTCATATACAGTATAATTCAACTTATTGGAGGTAAAGTAATTTCAGACTTTAAAATTGTTTTGGCATCAACTAGAATACAGCACCAAGCTAAGTTTTAAGTGAATCACCTCGAGAATTACGCAACACAGTTTGTAACGTAAGCAAGACTTTGCCTTGTATAACTTTATCAGTACACACACACACACACACACACACACACACACACACACACACACACACACACACACACACACACATACACACACACACACAGGGGCGCCATCTACCTGACGTATTTCAAAGTAACCATGAGTGACGTGACTTAAATTATCCCTCTCATAATTCCACCAGCAGCGTCTCTGTCAGCCTGGCCACTGCCGCTGATAATTATCCACCAACCACTGACACAAAAGGAAAGTTAAACACGAAACAGACGATCCCCAGCTACAACTTCTTACATCCGCTACAGTTCAGCCATATTCCAAGACTGAACGAGCGAGTTACTCCATCACAGGAATGAAATATTATCCGTCATTGAGTGAGTGAGTCAGTCAGTGAGTCAGTCATTTGCACCCTAGAAAACACGTAAACTGTTGCTGGCGTAAATCACACTCTGTACGAGGTGATTACAGTATGTTGGGACCTAAGAGCGAGCGAAGGTTAGGATAGCTACTGACGCGCGACAGTCAAGCTAAGAAACCACAGAGTAAGTTTGCAATTTTGACGTAGTGGAATAATAACAATCACCATTAACTCGGTCCGACGTCAATTTACAACCTCGCTGAACTGGATTAATGAAACCCTAGACTCCTGTAGGCCTAGACAAACCGGATTACATTTAGACTCCTGTAGGCCTAGACAAACCGGATTACATTGGTTACCTAAGTAGTTTCCACGTTGTGTTTATCTGTTAGTTCTTGCCTGTTGCGGTGAGTGTTGACCAGTTGAGAGCGTATAGCGGGTACTCTTATGTTTACTGGTGTATAGTCGTCATGTTGTGGCCAGGTAAGTATCGGGAGAGAGATTACAAGACACAGGGACA